GTTACCTGAATTTTCAAATATTCTTCAGCTCCATCTGAAAAAAAAAATGTTTTGGAACAATCTACGACTCCATTAAATTCATCATTTTTTATTTTAAAATTGAGGAAAAGGAATAGAGCATGTTATAGCATACTGCTTTACTTCTTATCACATGTTAGAAACATGACTAGAATTAAGATTTTCACATCATCAGATTTTGTTGTCCCAATCTTCAGATGTGAATCCTTAAGAAATGCATTCACTTAAGTCTCTATTTTATAAGTTATGAAACCGGGACTCAAAAGCATTAATTTTTCAGCAGGATTGTTTGGAGGATTAAATGAGAAAATATATGATGAAAAACAATCAGTGCAGTCCCCTGACATCTACAGGAGTCAATATGTGCTTGCTTTTATGATTATCCAATGAGAAGAAACTGATAAGTTGTAAAATTTTAGACTCAGTAGTGAAACAGCTTCACACAAGATCTCAAGTCTTGATGTCCCTCTGTGCATTCCTAATCAAAGGAGAAGAATTAGGCCTGGATACTGCTCTCCTGACAGGATTCATCAGTGGAAACTAAACCCACTGCTTTTTTTCCTCACTCTGGAAAGTAAGGACTCCACAACTAAATCAACAAAATGAAACAACAGAAATAAGAACAGTGACCACAAACACACCCTGGAACATCAAACACTCCTCTCCGCACTTTCTCTCTTTACTTTCAACAATTTTATATACTTTGAAAACTCTGACTTTGTTTTCCTTTTCATACAAATTAAAAAAAGTTGTGGCCTGGTTCCTATGATCCAGTTCTCCCTTTAGATAAACAGGTGCATGGGAAAAACAATCTATGTAATAAAATAGAAGTCATTAGACTTTCTTGATTAGCACCATCAAATCTACTATATTCAGATGTCATAAAAGTGGATGTTCTCATATTTGTGACACGTTCTTCAAAACTGTGTGTCTTCATAATCTCTTAGCTGATCACCAGCCAATTGATTCTCTGGGTCTCCAGCATTCCATGACACAAGTGTTTGTACTTGTTGATTTATATACCTGATAAACTAATGCCTTTCTTATATAAGTTCCTTTTGTGTTATCTCTTCCATCTCATATTTTTCAGGTAGTATTTCAATCCTATCTAAATATTTTAAAGTACTCTTGCTACTTATCTACGAGTCCATACTCCCATTTTTGGGACCCCTATACAAGTACAGATGAAGAAGAGATTTCATTAAGGTAGCTGACATTAATCAATGGTTGCTTTGACTGTGAATTGAGAAGTCTTCTGAGGCCAGTGAAAATGAATGTTATAATCAACCAGAGATGTCTGCCACAGTTAGGAGACAGGGGAGTATCTACCTGTAGCCTACCTAAAGAGCTGAGATGTTGGAATATATAATGCAATGAAGGTTTCCCTGAATGTCATCCATACACGATCAGTTTACGTCCTTTGTGGTCTGATTTCTGCTATCATCTATCTCATTTCCCACTCTTTAAGAAGTCAGACACAACTAGAAAGCACCTCAGTTCATACATGCTCAAGTTTTGAGCATTTAACAAGTTCTTCTAAGGCCAAATGCAATCATTGATACTGGTTGACTGATCATATCATTGAAGGAAGAACTGGACAGTGACAGATAGGAAAATGAAAAACAAATAGATCACTTAGTAAGAAGAGATTCTATAGATATTGCCAATCAGATTCAACGATTATGAAATGAAAACACCCACAAACAGAAAGATTCACTGTTCTTTCTACACAATGAGAAAACTCATAACCAAAAAATATATAGATACAAAAATAGATTGTATCTCAACCCAGAAACTTAATCATATTTAAGTTAGAAACATACAGAAGAATCATTTTAAGAGTTATTCCTTTTAACAGAGCTAAAAGTTTAAGTGGTACAAATTATTTAAGAATAAATAGAAAAAAAAAAAAGAATAAATAGAAAGCTTCAGACTTCCCTGGTGGTCCATGGTTAAGAATCCACCTGCCAATGCAGGGGACATGGGTTCAATCCCTGGTCTGGGAAGATCCCACGTGCTGTAGGGCAACTAAGCCTGTGAGCCACAACTACTGAGCCAGTGTGCCTAGAGCCCCAAATCCACATGAGAAGCCACAGCAATGAGAAGCCTGTGCACAACAGTGAAGAGCAGCCCCTGCTCACTGCAACAGGAGAATAAAGACCAGAACAAAGACCAGCAACAAAGATGCAGCAACAAAGACCAGAACAGCCAAAATTAAATAAACAAAAATTTTAAAAAGCATAGAAAGCTTTTAAAAGGCAACAGCAAAAATGATAAATGATAATAAATGATAATGATGATAGTCCCAGTCACTACACAAAGTGCTTCTCATGAATTACTCAGTTTAATCAACACAACTGAAGAAGTAGGTATTGTCAATATCCCCATTGTACAGAAAAGAATATTTATCTGAGACAGTGAACTTGCTCAAGGTCACCGTGCTGTCACGCATCCAAGATGGGACATTACAGCTGACTTCAATCTCCTGCCTCATAACTTCACGGCACTGGCACAGTAATGGTGCCATCGTCACTGCTGATAACTCTTATCTTGGCCTGAACTCAGGTCAATTTCCTGTATTGCACATAAAAGGAACTATGATGCCAAGCATAGCGGTGTAGCAGTATAAATTCTGGGAAAAGTTGCACTTGTAAAGATTTGGAGACAGTGCCTTTTATATTTCCAGTGCCCTATACCTCTGTCTTTCTCAGTGGTTTTATGATCTGTCACTACTTGAGCAGACAGCACATCAGCAAGTTTGCGGGGTAATTTTTTTGGACTGATCTCATTTATGCCTGCCCATTTCTTGCCAGTAACAAATCTTGTGAAAACACTTAGCATTCCAGAGCTTTTCATATATAAGTCATCTAACTGAAGGTTTAAAAAAGTAATTCACAACATAGCTCTTCATCAAAAGAAGTAATCATTTCCATTTCGGTCTTCATGTAAGATATAATAATTCTGTAATTTATGGGGCCACAGAAGCTCTGTGACTTATATCATTTGGAGTATAATGTGATCTTCTCTGATTAATAGCTGCCATTTATTCAGAGACTGTGCAGGACACTTTATATTTATTGAACATTCTCATTTAATTCTCACAACAATTGTAAAAGAAGCTATCATTATCTCCACTTTACAGTTTCAGTAACAATTGTAGGTCATGTAGCCAGTAACCAGAGCCAAAAATCAAACCTGGGGAACATTGATTATTCTGTCACAGAATAAAGAGGTAGGAAAGTAGATTAAAGAAGGTTGGGTACCATCTGTCTCATATTAACATTTGCCATTTTGTGATTTATTTATTCAATCAACCTTTATGAAGCTTTATCTAGATATAAAACACAATGGAATTATTGAATTATACATCTAATGGGTGGAATATTTAAAAGATATCACCACCCAGAAAGCAGTTGCTCAACCATATGGCTGCCACAGTGATTCTCAAACCTCCATTCCCTGTCTGTCCCTCCCGTTACTCTAGACCAGGGTTTCTCAATAGTGCCACTATGGACTTTTAAGACAAAGAAATCCTTGTTGTGAGGGCCATCAGATGTCTTTTTAAGAGGTTTATCAGCATCCCTGGTCTCTACACACTAGATTCCAGTAGTTTTCTCTTCCCCAGTTGTGACAGTCGAAAATGTCTCTATACATTGTCACAAGTCCACTGGAAAGCAAAATCGCCCCCAGCTGAGAAACCCTAGTCTAGACTCAAATCTCGTTTAACATGTTTTTTAATATTCATTATGCTTTTTTATATTTAACAAATCATATCTTCTGTGATTAAATGCAAGCTCCTTCAGTGTGTAGCTATAACCATAATAATTACACTATGTGGGACCTAGCAGATTCTTAAAGAAAAGTTGGTTGGATGAACATACGGAATGACCAAACTCAACTTATTTATTTATTAAGACTACTTTCCAAAAGTTGCTTTAATGACTTTTTGTCAGTGAAACAGGATGTGCTTCTTTTTGGTCAGACCCATCCTTAAGGAAAGTAATATGCAAAACTAATAAAAGTGAGAGAGACTAGCTAACTTTTGCACTTATCTAAAAATATCTGCATAGCAAATGGCTTTGACTTTTCTGACAGCCATATATTTGACCTTGACTCTCTACACTGGAAATACCAAGACTCTTAAGGTCACCTTTCAGGTATCCTATCTTCCAAAGGAACTTGGAAAGCATTATTCTAAATGCAGCAACAGATGGGACGTGTGGCTCCAGTAGTTTGCTGCTTGAGGAGACAAGTCTCGCTGAGTAAAGATGCCAAAAATGCGAAGTGACTAGCTGGGAGCCAAGACGGAAAACTAGGGAATGGGAGATGGTTGAGGGAGATATCCACCAGGGTTTACCCTCAAGATTTAACTGTTGCCTTACTGATAAAGTGGCCTCATGAATAGGAATGCCTGCTCAGACACCAGAATTGGAGATGATGGATGAAGATCGGCTAATTGAAGAAGTCTTGGATAAATTTGTTAATTGTCATGAGCAAACATATGAAGAGTTTCTGAGAACGTTCACTCATCTTTCAAAAGATAATGTGACCAAAAGAGAAGCCTTTGGAACTAATTCTTCAGAAAACAATTTTACTTCAATAAAATTTACTCAGAGAAATGAACCAAATGATCACCATCTTAGCAATAAAGCCATGTTTCTTCGTACTTCATCACAATGTTCTGAAGAGGAGCAGAAGATTTCCTGTATACTGGCAAACACTGGCAACTGGAATTACATTTTCTGTTGAATCTTTAACAAGCATATAATGATAGGTGATGGCCACAAAGCTGGCAGTTGCTTTCAAGGTGATCTGAATCGAGCAGGGGAGGTGAAGGTAGACAATTTCCTTGATATAGAAGATTTAGACCTGGATGAAGAGATTAATCCCCACTGAGCAAGGACATGCTGCTGCTTCCAGGACAAGTGGAGCAGGAAGTGAGCTTGAGTGTTCCCTCTTACATTCCTTCTGTGGCCGGCCAGCCTCTCACCTCTGGAACGAAGGCCGGGCACACCGTGAAAGGAGCAGACAAACAAGGGGAAGAGATCGTTGGAGATGAAGTTCAGGCCTTCTCGCTTGATGAAGAATTCGATTATGATGCAGTGGTGCTAACCCCCAAGTTCACTCCTGCAGAGCTGAATGCTATCAAAGAGCTATCCAAGCAGAAGACAAAGAGCGCAGACTTAGAGGAGCCCATGACTGATCCACCCAGACCTCTTTACATTTATTTTTATTTTGTTCTTGCTCAAGTAACATGAAATTAAAAGATAAACCTGTATGTGTGTGCATTGATTTATAAGGTTGTCAGTGAACTTCTCCGGTGTGGCGCAGTGGTAAAGAATTTGCCTACCAATGCAAGTAGATGCAGCAGATGTGGGTTCAGTCCCTGGGTCGGGAGGATGCCCTGGGCAGGGGAATGGCAACCCACTCCAGTGTTCTGGCCTGGGAAATCCTATGGACAGAGGAGTCTAGGGGGCTACAGTCAATGGGGTCACAGACAATCAGACACAACTGAGCATGCCCACACCACCAGTCTTTTCAGTAGGCGATGCATCTGAAAAGTGAAAGTGAAAGTACCTCGGTTGTGTCCAACTCTTTATGACCCATGGGCTATACAGTCCGTGGAGTTCTCCAGGCCAGAATACTGGAGTGGGTAGAAGCCGTTTCCTTCTCCGGGGAGTCTTTCCGGCCCAGGGATTGAACCCAGGTCTCCCACATTGCAGGCAGATTCTTTATCATCTGAGCCACCCGGGAAGCCCAGGAATACTGGAGTGGGTAACCTGTCCCTTCTCCAGTGGGTCATCCCAATCCAGGCATGGAACTGGGGTTTTCTGCACTGCAGGTGGGTTCTCCACCAGGTGAGCTACCGGGGAAGCCCAGGCGATGTGTCTAACAAAGCCAAACTGCTCTCTATGGTTTATGTGGTTTAGTCGCTCAGTTGTGTCTAACTCTTGCGATCCCATGTACTGTAACACGCCAGACTCCTCCGTCCATTGAATTTTCCAGGCAAGAATACTGGAGTGGGTTGCCATTTCCTTCTCCAGGGGATCTTCCAAATCCAGGGATGCAACCTGGTCCCCTGCATTGCAGGCAGTCTCCTGCATTGTTGATGGATTCTTTACTGATTGAGCCACCAGGGTGGCCTCTATCCTTACAGAATTCTGTTCTGTCACTTGGCTGCATCCATGGCTGATAGGGGGAGATGGAGGTGGCAAATGGGAACAGGAGGTAGCACCTACAGAACGGTCTGTAGTGAGAGCAATGCAACTAGGTAATGAAGGTATTGTGACGTAGATTGGAAATTGCACCCCATCTCCTTGGGGAAGAAGGGCAATTGAGCATGCAAAACCCAGAGAAAAACTGGTTATGTGGTAGGTCCCAGGTCACAGGTATCCAGAGACAGTGACATGAATGTGAGTGCCGAGAGGCTGGGCTTCTAGGATTGATTGGGAAAGACTTTACTGAAAAGGAAAGCATCTGAAAATTGATTATATGTCATATATTAAATTCTTGTACTTTGTTATTGCTATTCAACCATGGGTGAGGATAGTTACAAAGTACAAGGAGTGATCTCAATCTCCAGAAGTTTGAAATATAATTTGAGAAGGCAAGACATGGAGAAGGCAACTAGTGAATGTCAAAGCTGTTATGAAGTGCTAATTGTGTACAATACCCATGAATGCTTTAAAGGGAGGAGGAAAAGGCATGAGGGCCCAGAAGGGGGAATAGTATATATGAAGTGATTTTTGTTATGGAGAAATCAGTAACAAATCAAATGTACTTAGCCTTTTTTCCTTTGTATGCATTCTATTCCTAATTTTTATTTTCCATTATGACTTATTGTAGGGTATTGAATATAGTTCCCTGTGCTGTACGGTAGGACCTTGTTTATCCATTCCATGTATAAGGGTTTGCACCTGCTAATCCCAAACTCCTTATCCAGTGCTCCTTCCCTCCCCACCCCCATGCCTGGCAACCACAAATCTCTTCTCCAGACAAACTTTCTATGAGTCTTTCTATTTCATAGATAAGTACTGTGAGTCTTTCTATTTCACAGATAAGTTCATTTGTGTCATATTTTAGAGTCCACGTGTAAGTGCTACCATATGATATTTATCTTTTTCTTTCTGACTTACTTCAGTTAGTATGATAATCTCTGGGTCTGTCCGTGTTGCTACAAATGGAATTATTTCAATCTCTGGCTGGGTGGCATTCCATTGTGTGTATGTGCCACGGCTTCTTTATCCATTCATCTTTTGATGGACGTTTACACTTTTTCTATGTCTTGGCTGTTGTGGATAGTGCTGCGGTGAACATTGGGGTGCATGTATCTTTTTGAATTATAGTTCATTTGGATATATGCCCGGGAACTGCATTGCTGGATCATATGGCAACTTTATTTTTAGTTTTTTGAGGAACCTTCGTACTGTTCTCCATAGTGGCTGCACCAATTTCAAATGTACTTAGTCTTAATTATTTTTAATACAAGCCTGTGCTTGTATGTGTGTGTATATTCATAAAACTGCCATTCATATTCCTTACAAAAGATTTTCTTGATTTACTGTTGCTATAGTCAGGTGATTTCCATGTCTGTTTTTCTTTGTCTAGTCAACAGACTTTCACAAAACACTATGTATGTGCCAAGCCTGTGCTTGAGGAGGATACAGGTAAATTAGATACGGTCTGATTTAGTGGGAAAGACAAATGTATATGCAAATAATTACCATAGAGCTACACTATCCAACCTCATAGCCACTAGCCACTAGTGTGACTGAGGAACTGATTTTTGAATGTTATTTTTAACTTAAAATATAAACTAGATATTTGATGCAGTTATTATAAAACTCTCAAGTTCATTTGGAACAAATTGGGTATGTGAATCTACTTTTTTCATGACAACTAAATACAGATCAACTATTTTTAATAACAACTTAGTGTCTAAAATATGCTGTAAAGGGAAAACATACATTGGATTTCAAAGAACTAATATGAAAAATTATAGAATATCTTGCTTTTTGTATTGATTACATGTTGACATGATAATATTTTGGATGTATCTGGTTAAGTAAAATATATTGTTAAAAATTAAAAAAAAATAAATGCAGCAACATAAAATTTTAATAATAAATTTTATATTCATCATATTTCTTCTTCAATCACTCTCTACACTGTAATTGAACCAAGGTCAGACAGAATCTCCAGTTTGTTTATTATATTAAGCAATAAATGTTACAGATTGAAAGAATGCATAAATGAATGGAGAACAAGAGATACAAGTTAAGTAAAACAAAAACATCTTTTGCATTATAACGATAGACCTTAAAGAAGTCTTCATCCTGGACCAGTTGTACAAATTTAAGCTACAACAAAATCTTTTCAGTTCAGTTCAGTCTCTCAGTCGTGTCTGACTTTTGTGACCCCATGAAATGCAGCATGCCAGGCCTCCCTGTCCATCTCCAACTCCCGGCCCAACTCCCGGAGTCCACCCAAACCCATGTCCATTGACTCGATAATGCCATCCAACCATGCCATCCTCTGTCGTCCCCTTCTCCTCCTGCCCTCAATCTTTCCCAGCATCAGGGTCTTTTCAAATGAGTCAGCTCTTCGCATGAGGTGGCCAAAGTATTGGAGTTTCAGCTTCAACATCAGTCCTTCCAATGAACACCCAGGACTGATCTCCTTTAGGATGGACTGGTTGGATCTCCTTGCAGTCCAAGGGACTCTCAAGACTCTTCTCCAGCACCACAATTCAAAAGCGTCAATTCTTTGGTGCTCAGCTTTGTTTATAGTCTAACTCTCACATCCATACATGACCACTGGAAAAACCATAGCCTTGACTAGACGGACTTTGTTGGCAAAGTAATGTCTCTGCTTTTTAATATGCTGTCTAGGTTGGTCATAACTTTCCTTCCAAGGAGTAAGTGTCTTCATTTCATGGCTGAAATCACCATCTGCAGTGATTTTGGAGCTCCCCCAAAATTAAGTCAGCCACTGTTTCCACTGTTTCCCCATCTATGTGCCATGAAGTGATGGGACCAGATGCCATGATCTTAGTTTTCTGAATGTTGAGCTTTAAGCCAACTTTTTCACTCTCCTCTTTCACTTTCATCAAGAGGCTCTTTAGTGCTTCTTCCCTTTCTGCCATAAGGGTGGTGTCATCTGCATATCTGATTTTATTGATATTTCTCCTGGCAATCTTGATTCCAGTTTGTGCTTCCTCCAGCCCAGCGTTTCTCATGATGTACTCTGCAGGTAAGTTAAATAAGCAGGGTGACAATATACAGTCTTGAAGTACTCCTTTTCCTATTGGAACCAGTCTGTTGGTCCATGTCCAGTTCTAACTGTTGCTTCCTGACCTACATACAGGTTTCTCAAGAGGCAGGTCAGGTGGTCTGGTATTCCCATCTCTTTCAGAATTTTACACAGTTTATTGTGATCCACATAGTCGAAGGCTTTGGCATAGTCAATAAAGCAGAAATAGATGTTTTCTGGAACTTTCTTGCTTTTCTGATGATCCATCAGATGTTGGCAATTTGATCTCTGGTTCCTCTGCCTTTTTAAAACCAGCTTGAACATCTGGAAGTTCACAGTTCATGTATTGCTGAAGACTGGCTTGGAGAATTTTAAGCACCACTTTACTAGCATGTGAGATGAGAGCAATTATGCGGTAGTTTGAGCATTGTTTGGCATTGCTTTTCTTTGGATTGGAATGAAAACTGACCTTTTCCAGTCCTGTGACCACTGCTGAGTTTTCCATCTTTGCTGGCAAATTGAGTGCAGCACTTTCACAGCATCATCTTTCAGGATTTGAAATAGCTCAACTGGAATTCCATCACCTCCACGAGCTGTGTTTGTGGTGAAGCTTCCTAAGGCCCACATGACTTCACATCCCAGGATGTCTGGCTCTAGATGAATGATCACACCATCGTAATTATCTGGGTTGTGCAGATCTTTTTTGTATAGTTCTTCTGTGTATTCTTGCCACCTCTTCTTAATATCTTCTGCTTCTCTTAGGTCCCTACCATTTCTGTCCTTTATTGAACCCATCTTTGCATGAAATGTTCCCTTGGTATCTTGAATTTTGTTGAAGAGATCTCTAGTCTTTCCCATTCTGTCATTTTCCTCTATTTCTTTGACTCCTGGAAATCTTTTACTCCTGGAAAATTTGTAATTATCTGATCCCTAATGTATTATTTAGTTCAAATAAAATATTTTGCATGTTTACTCATCTGAGAAGCATATTTGTTCCACAATATAT